AGAAGCGGCACTAAAACGATGGTGGTGGCGAAGGAGCCCTCAGAAATAACTTAGGTGAGTATGAACATAAATTACCCTAATTAGAGTGACACATACATAAATTACTCTCAAACGCAGGTCCAGACTAAAAAATAAATAACTTTTAAGTTTTTATTTCCATTAGTTGCCATCATGGTGCGCGTGCCGAACGAACAGCTATACCGTCGCAATGATAGTCGACCGCGGTCAGCTGGCCGTGGATTCATGGCCTTGAATCAAGGGCAAATTATCGCACCAGAACGCGCAATATTTGTAATAATCTGACGTCACTTACAACAAGTACGTACACGACTCGGGCGACCCGGCTGAGGGGTGCTGCAATATTTCTCGTCATCGCTTCGGTCACTACCAAGAGAAGGCAAACCGTTTTTGTCCTTGCTACCGAGAGCTGTGCCAGTTGTGTCGCCACTCACCGTAGACGGTGGCTCGAAATTGTGCGGTGCAGCCAGCGGTTTCAGGGGCGCCGCCACCAAAGAGCGATACTATCCCACCGAATAGTCCTGCATATTCGTCGTTTGGTCTGTAAGCAGCTCATCTTCTGGTGCTCCTACGGCGGCGTCAAAATGACGGGCTGCTCCCTCTCACTCTGAATTTGACTTCTTTCACTGACGCAGCCTCATGCAACCAAACAATAGTCAATCAGAATCAATTATTGCATTTTTACTTTATGTCAAGCAGATTGGTTGATCATATCAACAAATCGGGATTATCCGATTATAGCTACAGCTACGACCCCCAACATGCTATGGGCGGCTCACGGCAGCGATGCGAAGGGGTGCGAGCTGTGTACATTATGAACTAATTTCGCAATCACACGAAGAGATGCAAGGGCATTAAAGTGCACCACTCTCGAGCTGATATACGGACGAAATCGTGGATTATCAATAAGCACCGCGCCAAGCGTGTCGGAGAGCAGCGCAGCCGTCGCGCCAGTAATTCGTTCAAGAATCTTGAAGGTACTGTAGAAGGCAAGAATATGCGATATTGGATATTATATTTACATTATTAACGAGGCCTCCGACAGCAGCTATGCAAGTTGCAGGAAGCGCCCCTACCCCCCCATACCCGAGCCAAAAGGGTTAAGAAAGCACACGTTAGTGATTTTAATCAGAAATATGGCTCAATTTGAGCTCATTTTTTCGAAGGTATGCCTATCGAGCAGCACTCGCTATAGTGTATAATTACTGACGTTACGTGCTATAAGATAGAGACCGTAGATTTGCTTTCATATATATGGTTTAAGAAAGTCTACCTGCTATTGCATCCTGACAAGCGTCATTAAGTACCGCTAGCGCTGCATGCGGGGTCAGTGGAGACCCAGATTCAAAGGACATACAAAACAATGAGTGCGTACAAAGATGGAACGATTGCGGCAGTTACGCACACCGTTTTGGAGAGCGAATGCGCCTTAAAAATATTGGGACTGTCTACAGACAGAATACCCCCAGAAGGTAAGCAAATGGCAGGAAATGTGCGATGAGCTGCGCGTCCAGAATGCCGCGCTGGAAGAAGCTGTTCAATTGCATATATATGGCTTTGAAGAAGCCAAAGACCGCTCAACTCTGGCGGGGTTGGAGGCAGTCTACAATGCAAAATTCACCAAGAAGGAGCAAGCCTACGAGACCAACATTAAAACAAAGGAAGAGCAAATGGCAAGCGAGCTCCGTTATAGGGAGGCTTTTGGAATACATTCTGATAGTGAGGACGATTAAAAATCTAGTCCGACTTGGCGGTCCCAATAATGTTGACCACACATCTATTCACAAAACTAGAGGTTTTATGACAAGACTAATAGTACTTTTTAAACAAAATCAATGGCTGTGACCTCAAAATCCTTAGGGTGGACGAAATGTATCTTTCATCGACTCTATGACTCACAATACATTTGGTTGGACCGGCATCAGAGGACTTTAGGTTAATAGCCTCATAGATGACTTCGTTCCAAGACTTGCCACAAGGGGGGATTAGCACTGCCACACATGTGTTAAAAAATACAGCGAGGGACGTCTAGGCGTCATACTTTAAGAAGCTCTGCAAGTTCTGTACCGCAAGCGAGCACCCGGATCCAGACAAGGTTCGGTATCAAGAGCTGCCTTCGCTTCTGGTCGCGTTTATGAAGAGTGTATTTTCATCCACCTCTGTGTCCATTCGAGCCACCGGGAAGATACGAGCCGCTGTTGCAAACTACTACGGTAGCTACGAACGCCGAGATGACGCAGGGTCAGACAAGTTGATGGTACTCACAGACCCTAAAGATAACAAGTATAAACTCGGCAATTTAGCCAAGGGTGCGTTCGTCCGACAAATTATGCGAGGGTTGAAGAAACGAAAGTGTACAGAGCTTACGCAGCGCCAAGCGATCTCTATTACACTGGGTATGCTGCGAATACTCCACTCCCACCTGACAACCACGCCTGGATTTACGGAAACAAGTCGTTTGTGGTTCTTTGCTGCGACAGCGCTCGCGTTTTACGGTATGTGTAGCATTAATGAGGCTCTGACCCTCCAGTTGAGGAAACGCACCCTTGGCCTGACGCGACCGAGTGTGCTGTACCATTATCTACGGCGCCTAGGAGCTTTAAACATGGAAGGCAGAAGTTACTGAAGGTCGGTGCTACATCATACTTCACTCGACGACAGCGAGATCCCAATAAGCGTTCTCTTTAAAGTGACTACGTGGCTGACGTACGTACAAACGAAGACAAATTACAAGTGGAATGACAGCGATTACATCTTCCCAGCACTGTCCAATATCTCGAAGATCGTTATCAAAACGGACAGCGCTTATACAGGCAGTGAAATTGCACGATTAGAGTGGGGTAAGAAGATGTCCGAGCAGACGTTCATTACCTTGCGTAACTGTACGAGATATCAATCGTAATGGAGCGTCAACGTGTGGGTATAATCGTCACTAATGGCGCGTCATATGCTTTACTTCTCACACTTTCTGTCGGGCTGGTGCGCAGTACTGATTTATGTTTGCACCCCCTGAGCGACGGTGGTCACTGCGCATGGTGAAGTGGTGGGCTGGATGGACACAAAATGAATCGGCCGAAACCCTAGTACGATATCAGCTTGATCAAGCATATACGGATGAAGACACCCAACTGTCGGACTGCTCGGCTTCAGATAGTAAAGCGCATGTGGGCTGCTCCAGTACCATCTCCCGACGTAAGCGTAACACAACAGCTTCTACACCCCAAACATCCTCATTGATGGAAAAGAGGCTAAAAATGTCGATAACACGGTGAACGCTATCGAGAACAAGATCGACGTACTTGTCTCTATTATGCAAGCAACTTTCTAGCATTTGCAGAGATCTTGACACAAAACACGGTCTTGGTGGCGAGCGTAGAGCAGATATCAGTTCTTCCCAAAAAAGCATAAGCCTGAAGGATATGTACAAGATGTATTGGAACGCTGATGCAGCTCGACACCAATTCAAGCCTGCCAGTGCGTGGACATCAGTGGAGAGAAAGAAGATTGGTGTTTAACCTAGTCGTCTAAGTGTTGCCAACACTTATCGCGCGAAATATGTACGAGACCTCTCACATTAAGACGGGATCATGCGCAGTCCTCTATTTAAACCGCTGACATGACCTGATACATGTATGCAGGTCACTGCAGCAATGCTGAGGTCTGGAGGGCTGGGTGGACGTAAAATGACTCGTCTGAAACTTTAATACCGATAGTCTACCTTAATCTAGTCATATATAGATGAAGACACCGGATCATTGTCGGACTAGCTCGGCTTTAGATAGTAAAGCGCATGTGGGCTGCTTCAGTACCATCTCCCGACGTAAGCGTAACACAACAGCTTCTACACCCCAAACATCCTCATTGATGGAAAAGAGGCTAAAAATGTCGATAACACGGTGAACGCTATCGAGAACAAGATCGACGTACTTGTCTCTATTATGCAAGCAACTTTCTAGCATTTGCAGAGATCTTGACACAAAACACGGTCTTGGTGGCGAGCGTAGAGCAGATATCAGTTCTTCCCAAAAAAGCATAAGCCTGAAGGATATGTACAAGATGTATTGGAACGCTGATGCAGCTCGACACCAATTCAAGCCTGCCAGTGCGTGGACATCAGTGGAGAGAAAGAAGATTGGTGTTTAACCTAGTCGTCTAAGTGTTGCCAACCTTATCGGCAAATATGTACGAGACCTCTCAATTAAGACGGGATCATCGAGTCCTCTATTAAAACCGCTGATTTGACCTTATACATGTATGCAGCGTACTACACCAAGCACAGGCTGGAGGGCAGAGCTCGTATGAGCGCTCTCACAATTTATACGCTAGCTACATATATTTGGCTTGACAGGAAGCGTCGGGTCATAAAGTCTTAGCACGCTTATCTGCAGTGAGAGTAATATGAGTCTTGTCGCAGTATTTCCGGTCTTGTTTAGTATCTTAAATTCTGTCAGAGTATTTTTTTCTCGTCTAAGTAATTACAGTCTTGTCGTAAAAGCATTGTATTTTGTTTCTACCTTGTTTCACTTTCTTTTTGCGCCCAATGCTGTTTCTATAAAATAAAAATTCCGATCTGAAAAAAATGAGTGCAAATTTTTAAGGACTGATAGTGCAGCTCTCACGATGGCCGCTGTCATACATACAAATCAGTTACATGAGTCAAGTCACATGACACAAGTATGCATAGCTACCGGTAGTCGCGCTCATTATTCATGCTGATCTTCACGTATCATTGCGATAGCGCCTCCGCCGACGAAGGCTTGGGCTCAACGCTGGTGTGGAAATACATTTCAAGCTCAGACAAGATCGTTTAAGACGACTTTGTCCAAGGCTGACGCCGCACAGCTAGCCGCTAACTGGTACAGCTTGCCATCGTCATAACTCAATTAAATCTCCTCGAAGTACTTGGCTCACACTACCTACTTGGGTGTCGCTTTAGAAAAAAAAAAAAAAAAGATAGCGATACAGTAACGCACTTGGGCTCTCTACTTTGCAGCGTGTTTTTGCTGCTGCTCTTGGACCCACTGCTCAATCTTCGTCTTGAGATCTGTATTGGGTTGCAGCTGATCCACAGTCAGAGGGACACGGGTAAATGGATCGCTCTGGTCGTTCATCAAGTGCTGCGTGATACAGGATCGGTCCATCGTGTATCCACTGGGCAGCAGCACCGGGTCTTTCATCAGCGTGAAGACCAACGGGTCGAGGAACTCTTCCGGGATTTCTCCGAGGGTTTCTTCCAGGTTTGCAGCCCCCTCCGCAGCCTTCTCGACTTCCACGACAAACGTCTCAAACTTCGGGATGTCGCTCGGTTCCAATAGCTGTGTTCGAGCCACAATGTGCGCGCATTTACGGAATACTGGGCCGTCGTAGAAGCCATTTGTGGCCACAGCCTCCAGGAAGCTCGGGTACTGGGCAAAGTGTAGCAGCGTCTCGACAATCTCCTTGAGCATGACCTTGGGGCGGAACTTGTATTGCTCTGGGTTGTTCACCTTGAGCTCCACGCCACGAGGCCCCGTCAGCTTGACAATCACACTGTTCAACATACCCACAAGACGATCCTCAAGCTCTGGCATCTTGACGAACGGCTCCTGGATCTCCGACGTCAGGTACGACATCATGTGGATCGTCTCGTTGGCCAGCTGCAGACTGGACGTGACCGTGCGCTCCTTGTCCGACAGCAAGCTCTGCTTCTGCTCGCGCACAGATTCATCCAGAGCCATCCAGCGTGCCACATCCTGCATCTCCTCTTGCAGCACCTTAATCTCTGGTAGAGCGATCAGCGCGTCCGTCACCAAGCTGTTAATGTGGTTCATCAAGCCGTGCGCGAACTTGACAAAGTTCTCGCGGTCCTCGGAGATGCGAAGGAACGCTGGCTTATGGCCTTCCAGTTTCCACAGATACTTCAGAAGACACGCGATGTTGTAGCGGTGCTCTAGTTTCTCGTAGAAGCCAGTGTGTTCCACGTCTCCGTACAGAGCCAGCAGGCAAGGAGCGAGATGTCGCTGTGCGAGCGCGTCCGTCCTCAAAAGCTCCACTCCGAAGGCAGTTCCCGCAGTCTCGCGCTCCTCCGACTCCTCCGACGGCAAGAAAATGTGGAAGAGCACTTCGCTCATCTTGGCCCGTAAATGAGGACTGTGCACGTATCCCGGACTGGACAGGAAGACGAGAATCATCCGCAGTAACTTCTTCAGCTCGAACGCGGCCAGCGCCTTGGGCTGCAGTCGCGCGATAAACTTGAGGACGGAGCTCAAGTCGTCCACCAAATGCTCGGGAATGTACTTCAGAAGGGCGTTCGTCTCAGTGTCAGGTGCAGGGAGAGGCAAGTCGAGAGAGCTCTGGTCGAACGCAGTCGATCCAGTGCAAATGGAGCTCACGACGCCACACGTGAGCAGAGAGAAGCGAATCATCTCATGCAACAAGTCCGGGTGCAGCAGCTCCGCATCCATGACCATCTTTGCAGTGGCCATCTGATCGAAATGAGCCTTCAGACGAGGATCTGCATCCGGCGCATTCATGCGGCTCTGGAAGTACGAGAGCTGACGAAGCAGACGCATGTATTGGCCCATCATGCCCACAGGTCCGAGGTGCATCGCTCGAGCTGTGATGAAGTAGCAACGCGTGATGAAGTTAAAGTCGGAAGAGCTCAAAGCTTGACGATCGTCCAGCTGGGGAGCGGCATTCTCTGCGCCAGAGCCCACCAGTCTCGTCTCGTCGAAAGGGAAGAGCGGGTTCTGCGTCGTCAAGTACGCTGTCTTGATCAGCTGAGCTTTCTTCGAGTTCGGGGCTAGGAACGGACCGCACAGCTTCAGCAGAACCACCGTCAGGTTCACAAACATACCGTTCGTGGACGTAATGTTCGCGTCCGGGTTCTCCTTGGCACGTTCGGCATTCACCTGCATCGCCTGCTCCAACCACGCCAGCACCTGCTCTCGAGCCGAGCCCCCAGCCTTCAAGAGCAACGTGATAATGTCGGCTACTGCAGTCTGCACACTGTCCAGTTTATTCCGAATGGTCAGAATCGAGTTATCCACGTCGTTCTTGGTGCGTTTCGTAATGTTCGTGAACATCTGAGCGATCGCCGGGTCCTGGTTGCAGCTGAAACGCAGCAGAATGCCCAACGCCGTGGCGTCCTGAAGACGACGCCCCGTCATCGGGGGGCCTGGCGTCAATAAGAAGCCAGGAATCTGAGTAAATACCGTCGCCAACGCTTTGTTACGACACAATACCGTCAGGATGTACATGTTGTTGTAGAAACTGGACATGAGCGACGGAGGGGCGATCAGGAACAACTCGGACAGCAACTTCTGGAAAATCGGCGCAAAAATCGGCAGCGTCGCGCCAGTTTCTTCCACTACCGCCACAATCCCGTCCACAAACTCCGGTGTCTGTGGATTGGCTTGGAGCCTCACAATTTTCTCCAATGCGTCGGTATTTATCGTCCCTGCTTCGAAAGGAAAGATCTCTGGGTCTGTCAAGGCGGTGGCGCTGTAGTTGAGGCACATCTCCCGGATGCTATTCAGCGATTCCTGCGCCTCCTGCTTCTTGTCTGCTGGCAGTCTCAGGAAAGTCGATTGAAGCTTCTGCGTCTCGTCTCGACAGCGATAGAAAACCTGCTCCAGGTAGGCCACAGCAGCCAGTGGATGGTGCGTCCCTCCTGGTAGATCGGCTGGGTTCATGATGACTCGAGAGTAGAGCACTTCGCTGACATTAGCAGCTGAGAGTAGTAGGACATCCTGGGCTTCTTCCTGAGCTAAAAACTGCGGTAACAGCAGCAGTTCAGCGCTGCTATTGGCTGGAGACAACGTCACGTGCAGCACGCGCTGTAGCATGTCGTTGATGTAAGTTTCGGCTGTCAACGCATGCTTCTTAGCCTTCTTAGGCTCCTTGGGTGGTGCAACAGGCGCTGGGGCGGGCGTTGTCACCACAATACGCTGCTTCTTGTCTGCTTGAGGAGATGAAGCGTCAGGATTGGACATAATGACGTCGTCTTTCGGATTTGCTGTGCTCTCATTGGATGAAACGGCTTGTTGACCTGCCAGTTGCTGCTCCTGCAGCTTCTGCAGCCGCTTGCGCCGGATTTCGTCGGCCGTCGCAGGAGCTGCCCCATCCGAAAGCGTGTTGCCCCCAGCCTGGAATCCGTCAGCCTTGCTCTCCTCGTCACCTTCGCTCTTTCCTTGCAGCCACGCGCTCACCCAGCCCGACATGTTTTGCCTCTTGTGTCGCGATCCAGAATCCGATTGGCTAATTTACCGTCTAAAACACCATTTCCATCTTGTGTAATCAACATCAAACACTGACGCAAACTCAAATGGCCACACTTTCGAAAAGTGACGATGTTGGTCGCTCGACGCTCGTCGGCGATGCTGCGTGGCCGCTATACGCGCCATTGTGCTTCAGTTGGTGCGGCTTTCACTGCGTCGAATAAGACTGGCTCGACCTCTTCCAACAGATGGAAGTTTATTGTCCATACGACCCGATCCCAGCGAGATATGGAGAAATTGGGCGAATGGTTGGCTCGTGACCGACAGGCGGGCGACGTGCTCTTCTTAAAAGGAGACTTGGGGTGCGGCAAAACGTGTCTGGCGCGCGGCTTTGTGCGGGCGTACACGGGGCAGAAGGATCTAGCGGTGACGTCGCCCACGTATTTGCTGGTGAACACATACGACAAGGCAGCGCAGCTCCCGACAGTCTACCACGTCGATCTCTACCGCCTGGACGCCGTGACGGAACAGGACGCAGCGGCTCTAGGGCTAGCCGATGCCTTTGACCGAGGAATTACACTGGTGGAGTGGCCCGAACGCTTTGAGGAGACCAGTGTCCCACCGGAGAGGCTGGATGTGAGGATCTCGTACGATGAAGAGGACCCGGAGATCCGACACGTAGAGATGCTACCAGTCGGAGAGCGGTGGACGAAGTTTTTTAATGAGGACGTTGAGGCATAAATCGTAACATCTCTTTCTGTATCCAGATATGCAATACATAGTGTATTAACGTTAATACTGTACGCTACGGTAGTTGACAATAGGTGGGTGCTTTTTAGCCCTTTAGACGGATGGTGCAGCCACAAATTCGGAAGATGACGAAGTTTCGCTGTTGATGGATTGAAGAAGCTGTCGGATCTCGTCAGCACTGGCGATGGGGCTGGAGCGGAATTTTTCTTTTTGTTGGGCTAGGAAACACTTGAAATCGTGGCGTGAAATGACGCCGGAGCGAGTAGAACACGTGGACGACGCGACTGTAGCGAAGGAAACTTCACTGCGGCATTCGTCGTGTTCGTCTTCGTCGCGCTCGTCTCCCACGATAACCACCGACGGACATTCCTGAAGGAAACGAAGCTCCTGCTCGACACGACTGAGTCGCTGTCTCTGTAGTCGCTCTCGTTTCGACTCTTGGATGAGGTTGTCTCGAACAGGGCGACTACTGCCTCCAGCGGACCGTAAAGCTTCATCTGTTGGCTCCTCTTGTAGCTCATCGATCCCAGTTAGTGGGTACGCCCTGCTTTTAGTCGCGATGAGCTCCTCAATTGCTTTCTTTTCGCCATAAGTCATTGTGAACTCGTTGCATGGCTGAGGAGGTGTCGTAACTTCTGGTCTGGCGTTTTCTTCACTAGCAGGAGAGTCCAGCATCTCGTCCTGTAGCAGCTTGTCCACTCGTTCCTCTTCTTCTTTCGTCATGTTCGCTTTCATACCGTTGGCCACCACCTGCTTGTTACGCTCAATGAAATTGTTGCCCTTCCTTGCCCCAGTTACTGCTTCATCGTTGCGTCTGTTGCTACAACTAGTCTCAGCTCCGTTTGACACAACGCTGGGCTCACTTTCGGTGGTCTGTGTCACAAACGTTCGACTTGCCGAGCTGTCTGCGATTTCTCTGTGTTGCACGGCAGATTTCGCCTTGTTTTGCTTCATTGGCACAATTTTTGCGTACAGATTCTTCCCGAGTTTCTCCTCCAAAATGGTGTCGAGCTGACGAATGCGAGCCATCTTAAGCGCAATCTTGGCTGCCAAAGTGCCGGTCCCTTCTGGGTCGTCGTCTACGTCTTCAATGATTCCCTGTCACAAGATCGTCGTAAGAAATGAAATTGCTAGCGACGGAACGAGATTTACGTACGAACGCTTGCTGCTTGGACAAGCCCGACTCAATGAGGACGCGTGACCAGCTCTGACGTGAGTGTTTACCCCCGTGAGCTGAGGTATCTTCCTCGTTGACATCTTTTTGAGTCATGAGCGACACAACCTGTTGATAATTCTTCGGGAATTCGACCAGGTGTTCGCCTTCTTCGTCCGTCAGAGAGCTGAGTGAGCCCACATACGCCTCAAGTTCTTTGCGGGTACGCTGCCGGCTTGCTTCATTGTGTAGCAGTTGCTTTCTACTTGCGAAGGCCTTTTTGTACTCGTCATCGTCATCGTCACTCTCGTTAGGACTAGCGTCTAGATTCGTTCCAATGTCCATCAAAAGTGGTCCAGCTACTGAGGGGGACTTATCCTCAATCTCTTCTGGTTCCTGTGTTTTCGTATCGCCACTTTGATCCTGTTCCAACTCTTCTGGATCCGAGGCATTTCGGTATTCTTTCTGGTTGGTGCTCGACGAGCTGTCATCTGAAAGGTTGCTGCGATTACCTTCTGCGTCCGCCCCCTTTAGACTAACACTTGGTTCTGTAGCTAAAACACTCGTTTCGGCGCTATTCCTAGCAAAACTTTCCACTTTTAAAGTATCGAAATGCCCAATTGAGGGCAAACGCGGCGGTGAGTTGGGCAAGCGGGTCAGAGTCGACGGAGATTGTTCAGTCGACGAAGTTCTCCCATCCTGGTGACCAGGGCCGAGCAAAAGTCGCTGGATGCGTGGCTTCTGTATCCAGGGTATGTACGCATCGTTAGCATCGAGGGAATTCAATCTAAACGGGACACTTAAGTGCCTCTACCGGAGTAGTGTTCGGCCGGCGTGACTGGCTACGTTGAGCTCTAGCGCCAAATTGAAGTGAGCGCGTTACAAGTGATGATCGATTCTGGGAGTTCGGACTGGACTGCCTTCCTTCCGAGCGTGGTCGCTGCATTGTTCCGGAGCAGCGCTGGAAAGTCGATCACCAAGAGACAATTTGGCATGCTTCACAAAAACCAAGGTTTATTATTTAACTATTTATACATACGCTCGTGAGCGAACAGTGCTTGCGAGTGAGGCGAAATATAATAATCTTGCAATTCTAAACTACGGAATTATAAAATAAGTAAACACCACCTTCCGAAAAATACATTGCAGTGAAAATAATATGGCCATATTAGAATGGAATAATTTATTTTTCAGTTATGATGAAAAATTTCAGTAATGTACTACCGGTATCGTCATAAATTATTTGTAGCCCATGCTTCACAAAACTGCCCAATCCCAGCTAAGCAAAAAATTAGAACCAACCACTGCTTGGTTGGTTGGTAAGTCCTTGGGCGTGCATCCAGCACAATCCTCCTCATTTTCCGATTCACCATGTCTTTGACAACTCCCTTCACTAACAAGCAAGTCTGTGACTTCCTCTTCAAGCCCGTTCTTGACAACCAGGATGAGTCGACGGGATACTTTCGCTGTCGCTGCTCCAAGATTCACAAACAAGACAGCAAGACCGGCTAGGGTAACCTGATAAGCCACATTCGTGCACAATACCCCAACTATGATGTCGACATTGCCAGCAGTGGGCTTGCCACTGGCACCCTGATTGGGTTCGTGGACAAGAAGAGTTAAACCATCTACAGCTGGATTGACTGGATTATGAAATGCAATCTCCCATTCAGCTTTCTCGACAACGAGACGGTGACTAAATATGCTGCTGTACCCACGATCTCACCCGAGACAGCTGAGAAGTACATGGGCTTGGTAGTGAAAGCGCTGGAGAACTACATTTCAGGCATTCTTCCTAAGAAATTTGGCATATTGTTTGGGATGGATGTTCGTTTCGGTCGGAGCACTATGTGGCAGTTTTTGGGATCTTCGGCCATGACAGCAAGATGGAGAAGATCCTGCTCGCCATGGCTCCTCTTGTGGATGATGACATCGTGGACCATTCTACTTCTGCTCACATTTCTTTTCTCCAAGCAGCTGGGCTACTTTGGCCGAACGCTGGCTGACGTGCTGTACATCGTCGTGCACAACTGTCCCACGAATGGGTCCATCGCTGCAATCATGAAGGTTCCGTTCGTGGAATGTGCGAGCCACCGCCTAACTTGGCTGTCATGGAGTACATGGAGAGCTATGAGGATCTACTGGACAAAGTCCAGCTCCTGATGCGTAAATTACGCGGTCTAAACGCTTCGGCTAGTTTGCGGTGAGTGCAAAATGTAATTTTTTTTGTAATTTATCTAATTGTGTTTTGTTTTGGTAAAATTTAGAAAAAAACAAGTTGAGGTCAGTTCTCCGTCAGACAACACGGTGGTCGTCAACGTTTAAGATGGTCTGTGATCTAGAAGATGGAATTAATGCTATGGATGACGCCACGACGGCGCTGTTGCCGTCGTGGCGCGAAGAAAAATAGCTGTGGGGACTTCTCGAGGAGCTGAACGCATTTGAATCCTCCTCGAAGAAGCTCCAAAGTGCCGACGGGCTGTCACTTCTCGACGTACGAGACATTTTCGACGCGCTGATCGCCGAACATCCTGGTGTCGAGGGGTAACTGGGGTCGGATGCTGGTATCGTCCAGCAACCTGAGTTTGAGGATGCCTGTGTCACCGTGCTCACTGGAAAGGCTGATAATCTCACAGAGTCTCAGCGCTCGCTGCTCCTACCGCTCGCTTCTCACGTTGCGACGCCCCAATTGTCAGAGGGCAAGAAGCTAGGATTTGCGGACCGAGCGCTCAAGAAGCCCAAACTACAACGTGAGACGCCTTGTGAGTACCCAGAAATTGCGGTAATCCCGCCGACTTCCGACATGTGCGAGCGGTTTTTTAGTCAAACCAAACATGTCATGGGAAACTATCGCCAAGGACTGCTCCCTATCAACCTCGAGCTAATACTGTTTCTGAAGGTATATCACCACCTTTGGAATGTGAATACCGTCGCCGATGTCGTCCATGCGTCCAGATGAGATGTATCTTGAAAGTAGTGGTGTAATATTGTTCTTACCGTAACAAATACGTATTTTTCAATGTTAAAGGTTTCTTTGTAAGTACTGATTTCACTAACAAGCGAGAATCTCATTGCAGTTGTATTATCGGAAGGCCTGATAAACGCTGATATTCTCTTCGTGATTGGAATCTGAGGAATTAATTGTAAAGTCGTAGTCCTTAAAATTTAACTACTTAATTTTAAATTCTCAAGCTAAAACTAGTACGATATAAATAAATGTTTATTAAGCATATATATTTTTAAACCTGTAATATATTATAGTGTTCATGTTTTTATAGCGTGATTCCTTAAAATGTTTAGCCTTACGGGTAGTTGCTCCTGAAGTCGTATCGTCTTATCACTGGTCAGCAAGACGATGGCCAAAGATGTTGCCGGACGGCATCGAGAGGCAAACAAAACAAAGGCTTTAGGAAGCAGGATTACATATTATGACTTAGGCACCTTAAATCAAATATTTGTAGCGGAGTGATGGTGGCGATGACTGGGGGTGACGACGCGGACCTTGGAGTGTTTGAGAAGATCGGCACGGTGAGACGATTCGATCGGCGGAAGAGCGGACTGCGGTGTGTGACAAGTCCTTGGACATGTAATCTGAACAACATGCTGCGGTGGGCACAACACCTGGAGACGGCTCCGGTTAATGGCACACTCGACAGAACAGGAGTTGATGTGAGGGGGATTTCCACCACGGAGTGACGAGAACAGCTGAAAAACGAGTGCGGATTGTATTTGCGCTTCGTTTTATAGCTAATTAAACAGGACGCGCGTTTTGCTACTCAAATGTGATGACTTTTGTCCTTAACTGAGGGACACTCTCCGGGAAGTACACCTTACGGCACAGCAGCTCATGCAATAACGCGTAGTTTTAGCGAAGAGCTGCTAGTATGGTTGTAGAGACCTAACCCAAAGATACAAATTATGAAGAGTTGAGCTGGCAGTTAAACTGTCGTGCTCCTCGCTCCTCCTGTCTCACTTTGAAGCTGGAGTTTGGTCGTGCATGTTATGTACTTCAGCTTAGTATGGTATAGTCTAGCCCACTGATAATAGAGACCATGCTCTGGTGCAGCTCTCTCGCAATCCCAATTCCGCTGAGTGGGCGATCTGTGGTATATTGGCTGGCCTTCTGCATTTAAAAGTAACAGGTTATGAGCCCAAGCGCACGAAAGTTTTGGCACTAACACCCTGAATCTTCACCTAAGCGACTATGGCAAGCTCATCCTCCGGAGTGCTCCCTACTACGGCAGGAGTAACAGTGACAAGCAGCGTTGGTACACCGGCGATGTCTGTAACGCGGGTTCCCGCCCCTTTCAGCCATGGTGGAAGTGGTGTGAGCTCTACTGTGAGTAGTGGAAGCTCGAGTACAGCAGCGCCGAGCGTTTCGGGTGGGCTTACGTTCATTAACGGAGTACTTTGTCAGTGGCGTCGTCAATGGTGCCCAGCTCGGTGGTTACTGTGCCCACAATGACTGGATTAACTCCTCCACCGACGATTCCTTACTGTGAATCTACACATTATGTCATACGTACCAGGATATGGATATCCAGCAGCGGTTAGTGCCGTTTATGCTCAAGGTGCCCCATTGTTCGGACAACATGGTGGTGTGGTGCCAGGATTAAAGAACATATCTATTAAACCACCCGTGATGAAAAGGAGTTTTGACCTGTATGCTGTGCAGTTAAAGACACACTTAATTCGTCTGGGTCTGAGGGGTCTTATTGACGGAAGTGATACGCGTCCGCTTCATGATGCTACACTACAAGCTGTTTTCAATGCTCGGGATAACGCTGTTCGCGATGCTATCTTGCGTGGGGTTCCTGAATCGGATGCAGAGATGATATGTCATGAGGTATCGGCTCGAGACATGTGGATTCGCTCGAGAATAAGCAGACCAAGAGAGAATATGCAAACTATGTTTTCGCCCGAGAGCAGCTCTATGCCAATAAATATACTCGTGATGTGAAAATGAGTGACTGACTAAGGGAGATGGAGCTGCAAAGGCGAGAGCTTCAGCACTATGGCAAAATTATAAGTGATGAAGATTTTGCAGAGATTCTACTCAGAAACGTGTTGCGATCTCACGGGGAGGTTGTACGTCAGTTCTCACCATCCCTTGCGTTACCTGGATCATCACAGGCAGCACCTACATCTGCACAGGTGATGAATGCTCTACGGGCTGAAGAAGATCTAGATGAGAAGGTGGCAGATGAGCAGCCGCGAGCCAATATAGGCTCGACCAGAAAGACTCAGAAAGGTAATCAGATTGAGTGGCGATGACGATAGTGGGAATGTGGGGAAACGCAAGAAGCAAAATGGCAGAGGGTGCTATAAATCCAAAACGCAAAATCAAGAGCAAAAGCCCAGCGGTGGTAAAGGGCCGGGATGTTGGACTTGTGTCGAGCTTAGACACATACAGGCACACTGTCCTTAGAAGAAGCCGGCTGAAAATTTCCAAGGCTGAAAGCAGTACGCTACTTCTGATTATAAAAGATGGCAAAACAAGAAGAACGGTGCGCAAAATAGGTTTTTGCTGCGCTGACCTAACGGAAAATCAGTGCCATCGGGGTCGGTATACGACACCGAAAACGTGCGAATACAGCGTGGGTGCTGGATACAGCTACAGATGTTCATGTGTGTACAGATCTGAAGTGGCTAACCGATGCTAAGCCTGACAATAAGCATAATTTCATGGATTTTGACGGCCAACCGAAAGGAGAGCGTTTGATTGAAATGTTGCTCTCTCTGTGGTAAATGTGAAAACTCAGCGACAAGAGCTTCTGACGTTGCACGGGGTGGTTCATACCCCGACAGGATCAGACAATATACTTAGCTCACACCTTTTAGAGGAGAGTAGATGGGAAATGAGTTTCGTACACCAGCATGGAGAATACCTGTGCTTGTTGAAGAAGGACGGGCTTCAATTCCAGTTGAAGAAGTCAGCAAGTCGCTACTGCTTGTATGCGAGACCAGCTGATGTGCACGCTGCGTAAATTGCATCCGAGACATCAAAGGGCCACCAAAGTGAGCTTGAGCGTTGGCACATGCGCTTTGCCCACATCAATTACTCTGCGCTGCACCGAATGATATCGCAGCAACTACTGGTATGGAACAACTGAGTAATCCCCCGGACCATTCACAGACGAGTGATGGGAAATGCTGGACGTGCACGGCTTCGAAGCAAAACGCATGTCGTACAAGATGACACAGACAAAGCGCGCAACGTAGGGTTATCAAAAGCTTATGTCAGATATGTGTTATGTTAGAGTTAGCACCTACGACGGCTATCAACATTTCCAGCTGACTCAGGATGAAGCTACCCGCTATGTATGGGGCTTCTTACTAAGAACCAAGGGAGAGGCAACGGATGTATTTCTCTCATCTGCAGTGGCTACTAGCACAAGGCCATCGCACCAATGTTTTTGCTTCGGACCAGGGCAAAGAGCTAATGAAAAATAAGATGAAGTCATTCCTCAAGGGGGGTCCTAGTGGACGAATGCCTATAGTCCAGAGGAAAACGGACTTGTGGAAAAGATGACTGGAGTGTTGATGGCCCGAGTGCGTAGATTGCTGACGATGGCTCGTATGCCGTCAAGTTTGTGGGCCGAAGCTATTTCTTTTGCGGTAGAAGTCACCTACATTTGACTGTCAACTGCATTAGGTGGTGAGATGCCGTTCATACGTCGGTTTAAAGAACTTCCTGGCGTAGAAAAGCTGAAGATTTGGGGATGTTTAGTGCATATGCTTACGCCTATAGTGCTTCAGACTAATAAATTGGAGAACCCTGGCAAGTTGGCACCCTTCCGAGGATACGCTAAGAGCTCGGATAGTTTTCAAGTCTTGAATCTACGTACTGGTGATGCTGATGAACTACGGTCTGTGGAATTTGATGAAGGGTGGACTGTCGAGAGCTCGTATGTGAAACATTTACTCGAGAACCGATCCCGACAAGGACACTTCGTACTTCCAGGCGTGATTCCATCGGTGCGTCCCCCGGTGATGGCAGCAGAGACTTATAAAAAGCTCGCTGCACCTCTCGCAAAGCGTCAGCGTCTTTCAGTATTGCAAAGTGGTTTTGACTCTACTATGGTAGTGGAGCAAGCCCCGGTTAGCATAGGGAAATCTTTGACTGAACTGTCGGATGCGACTCCAGTGGAATCGGCTTGGGCTGCTAGCCAGCTGTCACCAACGGGTGCACTGCAGCACGAGAGTGAGATAGAAGATCACAGTCAAGATGTCAATGAGTCAGAAGATACTAAGAGCGAGCTCAACCGCCGTTCCATTTCTTTGAGAGAATTGCCGTCTTTGATTGAAGTGCATGACGTAGAATACAGTGTGATATTGCTGAAGAGGAAGAAGTGATTGCATCAGGTGAGCCGGTGGAAAGCAGTGAAAGCTCAGTGGGAAGGGATTCTCTGTCATCTACTGATTAAGAAAATAATGAGGAAGAATAACTTAAGGAATGCGTTTCTTTCCGACACTCTACGTGTATACGTAGACCCAACGTTCGGTTTCTGGGCTATGAAGTAGAGGTACCAGAAAGTCGGGTTATCCAAGCGGTCAATATGATACTGAAGCCGACGTCCACAGAGGCTGCGTTGAATTCTTTTGATGCGGACAAATGGATTGAGGCGTTGCATACCGAGTTTGGTGCGATCGTACGCAGCAGCACATGGGAGTTAGTGGAGAGGCCAAAAGGTGAAAAAGTGCTGAAAAGCAAGTGGCTATTTGTTCGGAAGAAAAACGCTCGAGGTGAAGTTGAAGTCATCGAGCCCGAATTACGAACAAAGGTTGCCAGCAACAATTCGGCTTGAATTTCTGGGAAATCTTTGCTACAGTTGTGTGTGCAGAGGCTGTGCGGCTAATACTCTTGCTTGCACTACACTATGGATTACTTTGTCGACATATTGATTTCGTAACGGCGTTCCTGAACGGCCCGATTGACTGCGAGATTTACATGGAGCAGCTGGAGTTCTTTGACGATGGAACAGGGCGTGTACACCGATTGCTTAGGAATCTTTATGGCTTAAAGCAAGCGCCACGTATTTGGTACCAGATTCTGGACAAGTATTTAAAGGAATTTGGGTTTCAAAGGTCAACGATGGATGGTGGATTCTACTATCGTTGGGTTAATGGTAGTCCTATCTTCTTAACACTTCACGTAGACGATAACGTCATTGCGGCTACGAAACAAAACAGCGATCTTGTGGTGGCAGATTTGAGTAAGCACTTTAGGATCAAGGATTTAGGCGATGTTAGTCACATGTTACCGATGGAGATCAAGTGCATCCCTGGAAAGATAAAAATTGCATAGCGATGCCGACTCCGCAAGCCAAGGGCGATTTTTCTCTATGGCCGTTTGTGTGAATCTTGATCCAGGTGTGGACTATCAATGCATCTTGGGCTCTTTACAGTATCTGGTTACTTGCTCGCGTCCGGATATAGCGAACGCTGTTCGGACTTTAGGAAGTTCCTCACCTGTTACACGAAGGAACACTTTGTGATGGCCAAGCGTGCTCTCGGCTACCTGCAAGGTACACGTGCGTTTGGACTAGTGTGGTGCAAACCGAAATCTCCAGGATTACAGTTAGCTGCTTTTGCGGATGCTGACTTGGGAAAAACGAGAAAGATGACCGACGCTCTATTACTGGCTATGTGCTGCAGCTGAATGAATACACGTTTGCTTACAAAAGCAAGAAGCAGACAATAATGACGGACGATACCTGTAGTGCGGAATTTGTGGCAGCTAGTGGATGCATCTTAAAACGCTCTAGCATCTTGTCAATATATCCTCGTTGCGATATCGAAAGCCTCAAATATGGTTATGTGGACTTATAATATGTTTGAGGAGCTGAAGGTCCAGCGAACAATACTCACAATTCTGTACGAGGATAATCAAGCAGCAATTCAAGTGATCAGCGAAGTCAGTTGTGGCTAGAAGGTAAAGAGTGTGGATCTTTCACTAGATTCGTGACTTCGTTGAGCGTGGCGTATTCAAAGTGCAATATTGTCCAAGTGAAGACAATGTTACAAACGTTTTCACAAAGCCGCTCGGTCCCCAGCAATTCTGTAAGCTCCGTAACCACCTGAACGTGCTGCCGATACCAAACACCGAATAAGTGGTGGTGCACCGCGAGCATGAAGTTGACATCTTACCGAGTCAAGGAACACGAAGTGAGAGTATGAAGAGTTGAGCTGGCAGTTGAACTGTCGTGCTCCTCGTTCCCTCTGTCTCACTTTGAAGCTGGAGTTTGGCCGTGCATGTTATATACTCCAGTTTAGTATTGTATAGTCTAGCCAACTGATAACGGAGACTGTGCTCTGGTGCAGTTCTCTCACCAGCCCAATTCCGCTGAGTGGGTGAGCTGTGGTATATTGGCTGGCCTTCTGCGCTTAAAAGTAACACATATCTACAGTATATACCTTCACGAGCATATACCAAAACTGAGCTTTTGGTCCTCTGTTTTTGTCCTTAATTTTTTCTTGTTTGGCTGTGACAATTGAAGCTGCCTACTGATTGGCTGATAATTCTTCACCCTACTTTTTCACTTTTCGTCGACAAGCATGGGTACCGGCGGTGGCGAACGGATGCACTCGACGGTGCGACTGAACGAGTTCACGCTGCAGTTTGAGGACCCGGCTCTGGAGAAGGTCTACCAGGCGGGGCTGCATCCGCGCAAGAAGGCGCTGTGGCTGCGCTCGTTGCTGCCAGCCGCAGCGTCTCAAATCTTATTCGCGCTTGCTGATGGCCTCGATTATCCGGTAGAAAACCTGCTGGTTACCGTCCCGACGCGAGTGTTGATAGCGGTAAGACTATGGATTTGTATCAGTGCGTGCGAGGCAACAACTACAAAATATGAGAGTCATCTCCGTATTAACGACATCTTGTGTAGATGCTTCAAGTTGCCATGTGGCTGCTGGTGCGATGGGATCTTGTACGGGCAAAGGAGCAGACGATGCTCTTGGTGTCAGTTATCAGCGGCATCCCTACACTTTTACTATACGCGCTACAGCGGTCAAGTCTTTGCCAATGGGTACTCCATACACTAAAGATTCTCATAGTTTATAAAGTCCAGATCCTCATCTTCTGTACAATGACTGCAGGACGCCATGTTCGTGACTTTTGGGCTGTCCTTCTACACGATCCCCAAGGTTACACCGCTGGGTTACGTATCATCGTTCTACGGTAGCTGGGCCACAGCTGCGGTGCATGCAGTGCTGACGTTTGTGGTTCGACCGCCACCCAGAAGAGCTGAGGGGGTCCTGGGGATCTTCTTTTTAGTGCCAATGGTGTGGGTCTTCAACACCATTGCGTACTATTCCGAGTACAATTCCCGCGAACGATTTGCCCTGCGACGTCGCCTTCGACGGGAGAGTATCACGCTGGCAGTGGCGTGCACCTCTGCGGGAGGTGACGCTCTGTTGCAAGGAGGAGAGGAAGACGGCTGGCTGTTACTGCAGACACTGTCACTACGAGGACTCATGGCTGCGAATAGTAATAGTACAGCGTCATTCGTTGTCGCAGTGATACTGTGGGGGGCGTTCACGCTGGGTGGCTGGACCTCGCTCCCAGAGGCTTTAAAGTTTGTTGATGAGGCCACTGGATGGGCGTGGTTTAGTCACTGTGCTGGCGTGACTGTCTTTCTCTTGGTGATGACAAGGCGACTGCGATGGCTGCTAGTGGTGCCCGTGGTCGGTGCTTTCCTCTTGTGGGTCATGTCGCTGGCAATGCCTGCGTCGTGGATTATCTTCTCTGCTCACAGTGTGGGATACGGACTTCTCTTGGCCTCCGTAGTGGTTGCCATGGGTGTCTTTGGCTGGTTCTTGTGCGCTTGGAGAGAGCTCGTGTCCTTCTTGACGCGCTCTTGCTTCCTGTACCCGCAACTCCAGGCTGGCATGGAGAGGGAGTACCCGCTGCTTGTACGTATCGTGTCCGAGTACACAGCAGGCTTCGATCCTGAGATTTTATCAGCTCGCGTACGTACAGAAACTGCTATCAAATCAATGTCGGAGACTGCAACGAGTTCATCACAAACTGAGGGATCGATCAAGTGGCCACTTGCAAAGGGCCCTGCAGCTGACAAGCCTCAAAGAAAGACAACAAAAAGTGCTCAGCCCAGCCCTTCAGGCAACGAGAAGCTTAACTCCCGTTCACCTAATACAAAAGGCAAGGTATCGGAGGCGATCGGGGCAAAGGATTCGGCCACGGCTGATGCAACGCCATCGAAGCAGGACAATGCCGTGGTAAGTATTGACTCTTCAGATCGGAAGATGGTCTCCGTCTTGCCGTCGTTCAAGCCTGGGAAGTGTTTTTTCTGCTCAAAGAATGAGGCCGAGCACTTTGTACCTGCTTGCGGCATGTGGGGCAAATGGACCCACTGGCGAATGAGTCAGCAAAAAAACTTGAACAACGCGTCGATTGCTTCTGCTACTGGAGCGGCAGTCACCAAAAGTTCCGTTGCTGCCTCCATGTGCACGTCCTACTACGATCTTCAGAACGACAAGTCGCAGCTTGAAGCTCGTGTAGAAGCTGAGGAGCAGAAGAATGCCGCTCTCGCCAAGAAACTCGCAGCATGCGAAGAACGCGAACAGAAAATGTCGCTGGAGAACGTTCGACTCAAAGCGGAACTGCACGCTATGGAGGAGAAACACGCGGCTGAATTACGACGATGCGAGGCGCATCTCCAAGAGAAAATGGGGGCAGTTCAGGAAGAAGCCAATCGCGTGGCTCACGAACGCAAAGTGCAGACCAAAAGGGCCGAAGTGGCGCACTCTGCTGCTCTGCAGAAACGACTCGAAGCCAGCGAGCGTCTCATTGAGGAATCGAGTGCACTGGCCCAGGATGCAGAGGAAGAGACGACGAAACTCCGCAAATGTCTGCAGCAGAGTGAAAAGGATGTTGTCGAGTGGAAAACGAAAGCCGAGGAACTGACACAGCGAGTTTCGAGCCTGGAGCTTCGTCTGCAACAGCAGAGTAGCTCACAGAGCAGAGCATCGCCGTCATTCGGCCCCTCAGTGCTGGATTTCTCGTTCGCTTCGACGACAAGTGGGGGATCGTCCCTTGATGTCTCGCCCGTGGCTGCACTTCAAACGTTGCAACCATCTGGACGGCTACCGTACGCGCAGTCTCTGGAGATCGAAGGCTTGCGTGAGTCCAGCAGACATCCCAGAGACGACGTCGACTACTCGAAGCGCTGGCGACTTCTACAAACTTCCGATCTGCGCAGAAGCGACGCGACCTCGTGAGTGAAACAAGAAGAAGACAAAGTGCCGTTGACGCGGGGATCAGCAGAAAGGAACACCGACAAATGAAAGATTTAGTTCAAAGTTACCGAAGACCAACCGACTCAGCTACGTGCAAACTCTACAGTAGACTCAGAAGAAGCCCAGCGGTGGGGGCTCCACACTGCCATTGCTATCGAGTTCGCGATAGTATTGCTTCAGAAGATCAGAGTAGCAACGAAGCGAGTGCGCGGCGTAGATTTGGCAGTAATGTGGATACCTCACGGAGCTGGCGAGACGACGCAGTTCGTCCAACATGGCCAACTCGTCTCCAGGTAAATAGCGCAAGTAGTACGGAGGCTCACGTCGCAGTTCTTCGTCCAGCAGCTCCACTTCGTGGCACGGTTTGCCTCCTGGGAGCCCCTCGTTCACACTCGTCGTAGCTGCTGCGTTCGAGTCTTCAGTCGTGTGACGTTTCAGCGTACGGAACGCTAGAGCGCGACTGCGAGCAGCCAGTTGCTCGGTCTGGAACTTGCGGTTGCCCTCGCGAGCATATCGTCGCTCCTGTGCGACGATGACAGCCAAACAAGCGTCAAACGCACGCCAAAGCGCTTGTTCTGTACGCAGAACGGTCATGTCTGCTGCCGTCATACTTGGGTTGCACGGATGCTGCACTGCATCATTGAAGCGATTCTCCTTGTTGCTGTGATGGTGACTGTAGCCATCATCTTGGTCAAACTCATCATCATGAACACGACTGAGCTCGAGAGACGAGATAGCGCAGCGACCAATGAGCAAATGATCAAGAGGCGAGTCCAGGACGAACCGGTTGGCTCGCACGACGCGATAGACCAGCAGATGGTGGTATTTCGTTCGGACTTCGGCATTCCAGTGCATGAAGAAGGTCATGTGTCGTTGTACCAGCGCCTTGAGGATGCTCTGCCGTAAGTCGCCTTCGAAGTAGTCCATTCGATGGTACAGGAACAACAGCGTACTACTTAGAATCTCACAGTTCTCACTGGACAGCATGAAGCGCATCCCCGTCGCAAATGTTTGGCCTCGAAAGCCCGGAGGCAAGCGATACACCATCATTCCGCTACCTCGTCGTTTGTCGGTGCCGCCAATCTCCGTGAGCATCGCAGTGGCGCTGAACCATTCCTCAAAACGCGTCAAACACACTTCGACACTTCGGGCGTGGAGGACGTTGGTGCACTCGTACATGGCCAACACACAACTCTCCAGTAGTTGGTTGTTCCTGAGCAGCTGCACAACGTTGTCCAGCACTGTTCGAATGGCTCGAATGGACTCAAGCTCGAATGGCAGACGCTCTTCTTCTTGACTTCCCGGCTCGATTTCCATGGACGAGGAAGGCAACGGACCCGACGTGTCCCGCACGTACAGCCACTTGGCCCAGCAGGCCTCTTTGAGCAAGAGAAGCGACACTCGTATCAGTAAAGTATAGCCAGGTAGACAAGTCCACACGACGTCACTCCCCAGAGCTGTATTGGCTGCGTGGAGACATACAAACCCCATGAACTTGGAGAAGAACTCGCCGTCGTGGCTCAATCTGTGCAGCCAGCAGTTGCGTGTCTTGTCGGTCATACGGAAGATGTCAGCGTCCGGATATGGCCCCAGGTATGGCGAGAAGCGAGTCCATTGGAACAAGGTGGGGTTCTGTCGCACAAACGCTTCTTCGTCACTACGCAACGCCGACTGCTTGCTGTTGTAGCGACCTGTCACCTTGGCAGTGCTGGTGCCGTTTCCATTCCCTTCCTCACTCAAGATGTAGCCATCATAGTCCGTCCAGCGTACTAGCGAACCTGCAAACGTATTGCCATTCCACGGTCGAGAAGCTGAAGGACGTCGTCTCGTTGGAGCTTCAGTTGCTAGCGCACTTGACCCCTCTTCAGTCAGGTCTTCCACACGAGAATCGTGGGCTTGTAGATGGATCCACTCTTTGTCACGATAAGCCCCGAATATTTGCTCAAGCATCGCATTCTGGAGCACAGGAACGCGGAAGAAACACACTGCAAACACGCGCGCGAAGAACCGCGTCTCCACTAGAGAGATGTAGGGGCGATGCTTCTGTCGCGCAGACTCGAGGTTCTCGACCGCGTACTTGAACGTGGCGATCAGCAGACACCGGTACAAGTACAGATCGCGCTCGCCGTCTGTGGCATCGTCCATGTTTCCTCGATTATTGGTCGGATTGGCGGTGACATTCTCGGTGTTGACCATCACATTCGGGCCAGCGGTGGCCATGTCGTCGCTGAAATCCATCCCCATTCCGTTTAAGGACGCGGTGGGCGAGTACGCGAGCCATCCCATCACCGCACCGCTCACATTACCCAAGGGCTTTGGAGTCTTGGTCCTGTTGCTAGCTGGCACGTCGGTGTCGGAATTGGTAATTGGTAAGTGAAACTCCACACGTTCCATGATGATCCCAATGAGTTGAAAGTACAAGTTGCGCGTATCCGTTGGTAGCGAGGACTTTTCATCGTTTAGCTGGGCAACTAGAAATTTCCAGCAGATTAAAAGCCCACGGCGACATTGGCGGAATAGCTTACGGCGCTGATTCCAGCTTGGCGAGGCTACATGCATTGTTTGTTAAATACTCTTAAGAGTTTGAAAAAAATGGAGCGATGAGTTACTCACCGTTTCCAATGTAGACTGGATCATTCCCTGCATAAAACTGCTTCACTCGCTGTTGGTTTTCTCGTCCGGCCATTTGTTGTAGCAGCGCAAGGAGATCAGCAAATGTTGCGACACTGTTATTTGCGCTCCTCTTCGTCGGTGGACTGGCAGTCGCTGGACCGGAGCAGGTGGTGCACTCTGCAACGAGTTTGGGGATCTTGGCGAGGAGCGCGGCCCAGTCGATCGTGCCGTCTTTCATGTAATCATCTATCACGACAGGTGTTGGGTTGGAGGTTGTTGTCCCTGTTAGAGACCCAGACGTTTCGAGACGTGCTTCAAGCTCCGCAGTACTTAGGTTCCTGGACGTCGACGCATGGAAAGCCACTGATGAGGAGGAACCGTAGGGACCGCTAACGAATTGCTGGTTGGTAACTGCTGCCAATGATCCAGTAGATTGAGTCGACGAGCTAGAAGACGAGCTTGAATGCTTGCCACCAAGCGACTTGAAAAACCGCTTGAACTTATTCACCATGGCTCCTTGCGCACTGGGGTCTACACGCGAACTTGGCAACTGAGCCGGCGACAACCCTCTCCCCTCTTTTGTGAAGCAGGGTATTGCAGTTTCAAGCGTTTCTATCTTTCTAATGAGCCCGGCCACCTATCGCTCGTGGCTTTCTACAGTTTTGTTTTTTTCTTCTACACTTTTCTTCGTACTGGGCCTCTTAGACGGCGTGTGTCCATGTGCGGGAACTGCATATTTTCGCCTGTTCATTACTCAGTACTAAAACTAATAAATACCGCTGAAGTATGTAGACCATACCTGAGCACGGAATTTCTAGTCAGTTCTTGTAGCCGGAAGAAAGACAAGTTCTGGATAGTATTGGGCTCAGTTCGACAATCGCGAGCCATTGTAGCGCAGCTAGCTACCAGACTCCAACGTCTTCTTGCCAGCAACATTTTTTTTCACGCTCTTACGGCGAAGTCTTACAGAGTTCAGGGTCCCTCGAGCATCTTCTTCACGCTATTGCTCAAACTGATCGATCTGTCGCGACCAGGAAAGAATTGTTTTTTACAATGTAATGTGCCAGCCCACTGCATCTTTGCATACCGAGCGACAAAATCACCCCCCGACATTTCTGATCATGAAAGTTTACATCGCTTTTTGATTGTGTCAATTGTTCTTATGTACCACACACACTTTGTTTTCAACCAATCGACTCCTACCAAATCTAGATATCGTATGGACCCCAACGGCTTCGCTTCGGTGCCCATGGACGCGCCTCGGCGTCCTCGTGGCCGCCCTCCGTCTCGCGCCTGGGCCTTCTTCACGACCGTAGCGGAGCCGCAAAAGCAGCCGTCGACTCTGTGTCGCCACTGCAACCAGCTCGTGCACTATCACAAGAAATGGGCTCAGGCGCGTGCCCATTTGATGAAATGCCCCCAGTTCCTGCAGATGATCGACGCATTGCCACCCAGTGACGTGCCTGAGTGGTATCTAGCCGAGATCAACCGACGCCAGCAGAATGCCGTGCCGAAGCGAAGCCCGAGCGCAAACATCCCAGCGATGTTCCAACAGAATCAGATGCCGATGCAGGTCCCGACACAGGCGCCAGCAACGCCATTCAAAGTGATCCACCCCATCCCAGCGCCTATGGCAATGGCAACAATGATGCCAATGCAAGCTGGTACTGGGAATATGGCAATTACAAGTGGCCTAAATATGGATTGGCAAAAAGTGGAAGAAAATGTGGCAATGCACGTGTTTACGACGATGCAAGTGGAATTTTTACTGGAAGATAAAACCGAGTTGCCGTTCTTGCTTCAAGTTTTCCAAGCCTATAACGGGGATATAACGGTGCTCAATAAGGACAAATTTATGACGGAGTTGCTGGACAAATGCTACGACAATGTGAAGACGCGCCTATTAGGCTTTTTCAAAGGTGGATTAGTGCCAGTGACGCTGTCGGTGGATGCAGAAGGCGAGGAAGTGGTGAGCTATATGGCAACACTTGCGAGCTCGGAGAAGCGTCCAATGTATCTGGAATCAGTGAAGATTTCCAGTAGTGCAGACGCAGACGCCAACGCCGAGTTGGCAGCTCGTGACTTGCAACGAGTTGTGGACAACATGTCGAGCCCAGTGGCCGGATGTGTGATGCCCTGCTCGACAGCGGAGAGTAGACAGACACGTGAGTTACTGGAGAAACAGTTTCCAGCCATGTACTTCCACGGATGTATGCGAGATGCGCTGCTGTCGCTTGTTGGACAGCTTTTCACTGGGAACAAAGGAGCCAACACAGAAAGGAAACGCTCTGTGACGCTACCGTTCACCCAGGATCTACAGCAGTTTGCCTTGCAATGCAAAGATCTCTCGTTCTTCCTGCCACAGCAAGAACTCCCGTCTTACTTGAGTGGAGACACAAGCCGCGCCAGTAACATGGTACACGTAACAGCCAGACGACGCTTGACCTTAGAAGAAGCATTTGTCTCCATTCTCCAGGCTGAACCATTTCTGGACGCTGACAATGTGCTCAATAGGCTTGGGAATGGGTCAAATCGAGCTCACCACCCGAGTGTCGCCCATTTCCAGACGCAGCTGGTAAAGATCGTGCGCAGTCCGCAATTTGTAGAAAAGCTCGGCAAGTATTTGGAGATGCTGCGTCCTATTCACGCGCTTCTTTCGTCGCTTGGTGATGACGCAAATGCGACGCCTTTACTACTTTCAGAAGTTTACTCTTCCTTCTCGAGCCTCGTGCAGCAGTTTGGCTCAAACACGTCGTTGCAGCCAGAAGAGAAGGCAACGTTGCAAGCGCTCGTCCGACGACAACAGGAACAGATAATGGGTTCAGCGCACTTGTTGGCCTACCTCTTAGACCCCGTGTTGCTGGGCGAAGAGTTGCCAGCTGACACAAAGACTGAGGTGGAGCAGAAGCTCATGGCTTCACTTCGTGGAGATGGCGCGCAACTCTCAGTGTCTGACAAAGAAGCGCTGTATACTCAGTATATGGATTTCAAGAAACACGCACTGAACCAGAAGACCAACAAGGCAGATACACTCGCGTTCCGAGCGCTGAAAGAGCGGAAAAAGTCTCCTCTTCAGTTCTGGTTCGCTGATGGCTCCAAGTGGCCAGTGTTGCAAGCTATCGCTTGTCGAATCTTTGTGATGCCAGTGTGCGCGGCAAGCTCGGCACTTGCCATGGCGGAGGTAGGTGCAGCGTCAAGCATTCTTCGACAAAAGACGGACCCGTTAACACGTGACAAGCTGACGTTTGTACGACTCAACTCTCGCCGACTGCGCCTGGCTGAGGCTGAGGGCAGCTTGCTGGCGGCTCTCGTAAAGAAAGCTCCAGCTACTACAAGCAAAGCTAACGAGATCACAGCGTCTATGGTAGTTTGAGCTGACACGTGAATAGATGCTACTTCCGTGTGCCTCCGCTAATGAAAAGCATCCTGTAGTGATGGAAGATAATAGGAATTCTAGTTCTTTAGTGATGTCCATTTAAAATTTATTGCTTCTTCTTTCTTCTTTCGTGCAAAGAACTCCGTGATAATAAATCTGTAGCAGCTGTTCTTTGATCAGCATTTAAACACCGGGGATTTTCCTATCCCAGAAGATCTTGAAGGCGTGAAACGAGGTACTCAAGGTCTTTTCTCAAGGCTTCAGCCGACATTGTCGCTTCTTTCTGAGCAATATTCAGGGCCATCTTCATGCTCTCAGGCACTTCTTCGTTTGATAGTCGATATGCTACGACCACACCAAATCTGTTGCCTGGTCCACCATCACGTTATAATAGTAGCTCAATGCATCGACCGCTGAAGATCTCAATCCCAGTAATTTCACATATCCTCGAAAACAACAGTGACCGAGACTAGAATTGTTACAGATGTCTTCAATTCTGTTCTTCACAGCTCGGTCATTATGACAGCCCTACATGCATCGTGCATGCATATGTACGCCGTCGTTATTAAGGATGTTGTTTGAATACCCGCTACCGTATGTCGTCAAGGATTTTGTCTTTCAAGAAAATCAAGCTAAAAGAACAAAAATAATGTTTTTTTTATTCTTTTTTTGTTTTTTTTTTTTATTAGTGAAGGATGTTGTTTGAATACCCGCTACCGTATGTCGTCAAGGATTTTGTCTTTCAAGAAAATCAAGCTAAAAGAACAAAAATAATGTTTTTTTTATTCTTTTTTTGTTTTTTTTATTAGTGAAGGGTATGCATGTACTGATATGCCCTTGGCTCGCAGAGGGGCTTAGAACAGGGTTGATTCAAGACTGATAGATCTGTTAGTGTGTGCTGTGTCTTGTCTCCGACTGGGACAAGAACCTAGAAAGAAAGAATAGAAAATTAAATGCAACTTTATCTCAAGCTGCAATGGCGGTCAGCATCCTCAGGCCGACGCCCTAGTCACTCGCCCCCATGCTGACTGTTCATTAGTGCGGAAACACTCGGCGAACGGTCACTCGTTGCTGCGCTGGTCCTTGGTCCAGGGTAATAGTGCCATTGTCGTGCACTGCAACGATCCGTTAGCCACATTCCTGTGTTTGTTCTTTCTGTCTTTGGCTGGAATGCAAACCATCACGTGGTCGCCTACTTGGTAGAAGTGCTGTAGTCTTGTAGAGTTTGCACGGCGGTTCTCTTGTAGAATAGCATCAAAGCGTTTCTTGCACAAGTAGTTCCAATTTGCTTCATAGAGCTTGCGAGTAATCAGATCTTGGCCAAATATCATGTTTGCAGGAGTAGTTCCTTGAATAGTGTGGTAGCTTGCACGTACCGAAAATGCAGCATACTGAAGTACTTTGCGCCAATCCGCCTCTGGGCTGCATCTGATGCAATTATTCAGCACCAAATGTACACGCTCGCAGAAAGCGTTCGCTTCTGGATTCTTGGCCAAGATCGCTTTCGTCTTGATGCCGTAACTGGCTAACATCTCTCTGAACTCGCTTGTGTTGAACTCATTTCCCCTGTTGAAAATCACCGTTTCCGGGCGTGGATATCGACACAGCCATGTCGTATCAAAGTTTTCCGCTGTTGTCTTTCCTTTGCTGTCTGTCTGGATGGAAATCTCCAGCCAACGAGTTGCTTCATCGATTACAGTAAGGGCATACTGACGTTCAGCTCCATAGGGACCCATCGTGTCGACATGCACTACGTCGAACGGATCAAACCGTTCAGGTCTCTTGGAGGGAGTTTGCCATATGCTTGTGGTCCAATAAGCAGTTTGACTCTCTTGCACGTGATGCGCTTCTTGCAGTACGTTACGATTGTCTTCTCCATGCCCGACCAGTAGAAATTAGCCCGCATGGTATGGAATTGTCGTTTTGATCCGGGGTGAAGCAAGCTCAGATGATACCAATCAACAAGTTCTTAGCGCATTGCATTTGGGATTACCACACGTTTCTGGTACGTAAGAAGTCTCGCCCCCATGGCGTTCTCAACACGGTAGTCCGGGTCACTCGTGCCATTCACACACTTTTGCAACAGCTCCTGTACCATTTTGTCTGTACTCTGGAGCTGTTTGATATAATCTCCTTCCAACACACATTCGCCTTGTTCGCTGAGCAGTGTTTCTGTTAGGCTGTGACCGTTTTCGTTAAACACGGACTTGCACTCCATGCGTGAAAACGCATCTGCCGCAATGTTCGATTTTCCTCGTACATATTCACATGACAACCGGCACTCTGACAGTAGAAGTTTCCACCTTTTTACTCTTAGCGAGTTCTCTGTAGGATAGATCAAGCTCTTGTGATCCGCGTGCACCACCACCGGGAATCCTAAGAGTATTGTTCGGTACTTCTTTAAGATCTCCACAACTGACGGTAGCTCGAGCTCCATCGTGATGTAATTTCGCTGTGCCTCCGTAAGTGTTCTCGAAAAGCACGCAATCAACTGACCATCCTGCTGAATTAAACCACCTAATTGCTTACCACTCGCATCCGCGTAGATTTCAAAAGGTTTTGAAAAGTCAGGAAATGATAGAAGTACTTCTTCGGCTAGCGCTTTCTTGATTCCTTCGAATGCTTCATTCTCTGTCGAAGTCCACACAAATGTTGCTTTTGGTGACGTCATTCTCGTCAGTGACTTCAACAATGCGGACTTGTATGGAATCATCTCCCTGTAGTAATTAATCAGTCCTAGGAATCTTCTCAGCTCACGCTTTGTTCTCGGCGCTACCAAGCGCGTTATCACACTGATCTTCTGCTCTGGAGGCTGGATTCCATCCGCACTCAATGTAAAGCCCAGGTAGTCCACCGACTTACAAAAGATATGACACTTTTTGCCATTAAGAGTCACGTTGTACTCTTTTAGACGTTTGAGTACTACCCCCAAATGTTCCACATGGTCCTTGGCTGTCTTTGAAAATATCAGTATGTCTAGGTACACGATGCCAAAATTCAAGTCTCCCAGGATCTTTATCATGCTGGCCTGGTACTCGTCCGGAGCCGTCGATATTCCCATCGGCAGTCTCTTGTATTCAAACTTTCCCCATGGTGTACAAAAGGCGGTGTACTTTCGGCTTTCTTTCGCTAATTGTCTAGCGTAATAGCCCATATTGGCGTCCAGTGACGAAAGTACTTTGCTCCACCTAGTTTTGTTAAAACTTCTCGAATCAGCGGGACATAGTATGGGTGTCTCTTCAAGAACCGATTAAGCGCTCGAAAGTCAGTCAGCAACCGTAGTCTTCCGTCGGGCTTCTTTAAGAACAAGGCAGGCGACGCCATCTCCGAGTCGAAGACTTGTTCAAGCACATCGACTGCAATCAACCTGTGTATCTCCTTGCGAGCTGCATCTTTCTCACTCCTCGGTACTGAGTATGGTCTCGCATGAACCGGTGTGAGCGGCTCAACAATTGGTAAGACGTTATCCGGCGGCTTCATCTTGCCCTAATGCCCATTGTACAACATCTCAAAGCTAGCTAACAACTCCACGTTTGTTGTACGTCTTTTAGTCCATGTCTACACCGCCAATCAGTTCCATCGGTTTGACCGACGTATTGTTAATGTCCTTGACCTCGTCAAGTATCTCCACCTCCTTCAGCTCTACAGGCAGGTGTCTTTTCGACTTCTTGTCTGGTATCTCCTGGTACTTCCCAGCATTGCCCGTATTCACGACCACGGAGTCTCCGTTCCACTTTACCTTGCCGTCTCTGAGGCTCACGATGATACCCAATGCGCTCAATAAATCGCGACCAATGACCATCTCATCCTTGGTGCTCTCATTCACCTCAAACTGATGAATGATTCGTGAGCCATAGTTAGGGTCCAAGAATCTGAACTTCACAATCATAGACCATCCGACTTGAGTTTACCGTCCACTTTTGTTCGAATGAAGGGGTCTTCTTGACTCCCAGCTGCTTATTAGCAGTCACGAGTGATGCGTTAATATAACTGGTAGTACATCCAGTGTCCAGTAGAGCTACTCTTTTCTCTTTTGTCTGAGAGAGCCGAATTTCTAGTCGCATTGGTCTACCAACGCTTTAAGAAGCTTCATTCATCGCGCTGGTGATTACTTTGCCTTTGCTCTCATCACTATAGTTGTAGCCCGACTCCGTGTCGTCCACCTTCGTCAGCTTTCGGTTCTCCGACTTCTTTGCCGCTGACTTCTGATTGTAGCTACATTTGTCGTTCTTCTTCTGCGTAAAGCACTCTTGGTCACTATGTGACGCTGTTTTATGCAGTTTGCACCACTTTCCACTTGGTTCTGCGCTGTTGCTCGACGGCACTGTATTCGTGTGGTTATAATTCCACTTTTTATGGCTAGTATTCTTGCCAATGTAGCTGCCGTACTGCTTATTCGGCTTACTCGCCTTCGGCTTTACCTTGTTCTCTTGTCCTTCGCGTCGCTCTGACTGCTCAAGGCGCTCGAAATACTGCACGGATTGCGGCATACTATTAAATGTGATACCACTGCACTCGTACGCACGTCTTCAATCTCTCGGCATCGCACGCTTGAAGTACCTGATCATTGACTTGCCGTCGGGGGTTCGTTGGAAGTCTCGAAGCATGCGAGCAATCTCTCTCATGCGCTGGTGACACTGTGACACTGTCTCATTACGCCGCTTTGCGAACATGAACAAGTCTTCCTCTAACTGCTCGTTTTATGCTGTGGGCACGTGCGTCCGTCCACACAGCGCGTACGCCATCGTAAGCTGTGCCACACTATTCATATCCTTATCCTCGGAAGCTGTTGCCACGCCTCCAGTGGAA